GTCACTCATACCCTGAAGATGGCCTTACTGACACTAGTACCAAGGTCATCTGGACCTGGGGCTCTAAAAGTCTGGTCTGTGGACTCCTGCCTGTCCCAGCAGGTGTTCTTCTCGAGTGAGAAAGGGAGGGCTGTAGAGTAGGGTCTCCTTCACCCAAACGCAGAACCTGGGGAAGCAGCCTCGAGGTGGCTTGCTTAGACCTCGTGGACAGCTGTGTCTATCCCTTTGTCCAGGTCCCCCAGGCCTTTGCTGGCTGGAATGCCCTTTCCCCCGGCTTCTGCTCAGCTGCACTCATTCAGCAGAACCCTCTCCCTAGATGGCCTTGGTTCGGTCACATCCCACCGTCACCCTGCTTTGAGGAACTTGAAGGTGGAAACTGAGTCTTGCATTTCCCCAGAGCCTGCTGCAGCTAAGGGGTAACCTTAGTAGCCTCACAGACCCTCCTCACACCCAAGAGGCACTCTGCCTTCATCACAGGACGGCCACAATTTCCCCGCCCTCCTTAGCAACACAGCTGAAGGCTGGACATCCACCTGTTTGCTCACTGACTTACTTTTTCAGGCTGTCTGTAAACATCCCCGTGAAGTACCCATCTCTCCTCCATTTCTGTAGCTTTTTAGGGCCCCTGATGGGGTAAGAGACCACCTTCTGATGTGTCAGGATGAGGCAGCTTAGAATCTGCACAACTCAGACACCAATCCTGTTCCAGAAAGACAAGGAAGGTCCTTTCAGAGAAGGCTCCTTCAGCCTCATTCCCCCAATCCAGACAGATGTGGGGAGCTGAGCTGCAAACCAGAGGGCTGGGAAGTGCCGTATCTTGGGGTCTCTGAAGTCCCTGTCACCCCAGATGCCTCTGCCTCTCTCCAGTTTCTCCTGTTCCTCCTGTACTCTTATTTCAAGATGCTAAAAGGGCTAAACGTGTGTCGAATGACATATGGATGGTGGGAAAGACTGGCTGTTGACTCTACTTCTGTCCAAATGGGCTGCAGGAGGGACAGAGTAACTCCCAGAACGTCTGACTGTGTCCCCTTATCCCTTGCAGATGTGATTAAACTAAGGATCTTGAGATGGGGAGATGATCCGGGGGCTCACTGGGTTCACAAAAGTTCCTGCGAGAAGAAAGGAAGAAGGGTGGGAGTCAGCCTGTGAAGCTGTGGAGATGGGAGGCTGTTGGAGGAGAGGAAGGACCACAGGCCCAGCACACATACGGCCTTTAGAAACGGTGGTCCCTAGCCATTTTGGGACCAGTTTCATGGAAGATAATTTTTCCATGGACTAGAAGTGGGGGGATGGCTGGGATTAGATTTTCGCAAGGAACACGCAAACTCGATCCCTCCTGTGTGCCGTGTTCAGTAGGGTTTACCCTGCTGTGCAAATCTCACACCGCTGCTAACATGGCAGGCGGCCCTCTGGGGAGCGGCATAAATACAGACGAGGGCTCCCTCAACACTCGGCTCCTCCCGGGGGAAGGTGTGCTCCCTGTAGAGCCTCCACCAACAGCAAGCCCTGCCACCACTTTGACTGTAGCCTGGAAGATTTTGGATTTCTGACTCAAACGGCACGATGACACCTGTGTGTTTCCTTAATTCAGTAAATTTTTTTTACGGCCAGCCACAACAAAGACAAAGTCTGTCCACTGCTCACCACTCTGACACTCTAATCCACTCGCTGGTCACATAAAATGCACCCAGATCCCTCTGGCAGGCATGCCCTCACCCTGTCCCTTCAGCTATGTTAAGAGCCTGAGGAAGCAGACAGACCCTTGTGCCCGCTGGCCCCTGGGCACCTCCTATAAGTAGCACATCAGGCCTTGCAGGAAGCTCCAGCTGCATGTGTAACCTGCATCTTCCTAACATGCAGCCCTTAACTCTGTGGGCTGTAGGTCCTGCAGGAGCTGGGAGAGTTTCTCAGTTGTCCCTCCACATCTATCACCTGGCATGGCACGTGGCTGCTGTGGGTGCTGGAGAAACAGCCACAGAATGAGCAAACAGAGGAACAGACCCTGGCGTCCTTCTGCACAGAGCCGGTCACACCCTCCTGCCTGGCTTAGACTTCTGTTCTGTCTGTGCACCTTGTCGGGCTGGGAGCACGACCTGGCAGCTGCCCCTTGTGGCTACGCACCTCCTGCTATGTGGCAGCTTCACCAGCATGGCAGGGCCTTCCTCCTGCTGGCTCTCTGGTGGCTTCCTGGGTGCGGCTCTATTACACACCACTGTCCTTATGATTAGATACTTGCACACAGCCAGAGTGTTCGCTTAGGGTAGATGCCGTTCTATGTCCCCATCTTAGTTTTTGTTACATACCTTCTAAGACTTTAAATATAGTGTTCTTCCCAAATGGTTTTTCTTCTTTGACTTTGAAGTGTGCCTTTGCTGGAAGAACAAGGAGAATAGGGACAGGAGCCGTGACCAGTGTCCCACAAGCAAGGTCAGACGCACACCACACCTGGTGGACCACCAGTGCTTTTAAGAGCTGACGAGTACACATGACAATGTGCATTTCCCGTTCCTCCCAGTCCCTCTTACTGGCCGGAGCCCTCTCACTGTGAGGACACGCTGTCCCCGCAGCTGGCTGTTCCCTGCCTGTGATCACTGGCATTTGGACCCTTGCCCTAACCCAGTTCTCTTCTGCTCTGTCTTACAGTGACATTACCCCTCCCGGAGAACCACTGAACAAGAGCAGCCGTCCCAAAGCAGCTCCTCGCTTCCCCAAGCTGTCCCGAGGGCACCCCAGGGAGACACGCAACGTGGAGCCCCAGAGCGGTGACCTCTGACCTCAACAGAACCCCAGACTTGGGCCCTTCGCGTTATGGCAGCCCCTCCCACCTCAGAATAATGACAGCATCGCCCCAGAGAGCCCTTCCTCACTGGTCACACGACACCCCAATTAAACTGAGTCTTAGAGCAGCTGCAGTCCCTGTCCTCAGAGCAAGGCGGCTCCTCGCTGGACAGACTCAGACACACAGTCACTGTTTTCCCACAGGCTGGACAGCGGGAGCCATTTTACCCCCCGTCCAGGTCGGGGGCCAGCAGCAGGGTGGGCGTCCCAGTCAGAGATGACCGCTCCTGCTCCTGCACTGTAGGTCAGAAGGCAGAAAGCTTCTCCAGAAACACCTGACTTCTTCCCCCAGGAGTCAGAATGACCGACCATTCGCCTCTTTCTGCTTTTTAACATAACTGCCTGCTGTGGCGTATGGACAGATAGTGGGGTGTCCTTCCCTCTCCATTTTCCTTCCCACCCATAGTCATCACATACCCTGCAGTGTTGCTGGCACGGCTCCTCCAGGGAGATGCTCCTCATGGCCTTGCCCAGAGGCCATTAGTGAGTTTAACTTCGGTTCTTAGAGAACATCTCCTACCTCCCCACAGCTGGCTTCAGGAAGGACTAGTCACATAGGAACCCTGAGGTCACCCAGGTCCACGTGCACCTTGCTGGGTTTGGTGGGGATTCAGATGTCCTGCCCCTCTGTCAGCAGCAAACTCTGTCTGCCAGCCTGTTCTAGAATCAGTGGCCTTGGCATCAGAGACTTGGTTCTGGGAACCAATAAGATTTTAGACCCAGCTCATCTCTGCGACCTTGGACATAGCATCTGCTCTGGAAAGATCATGACTACTCCCTCCCTGTACCCCAAGACACGTTTGTGATCCCTGCCTATGCCCCAGAAGGCTCTTGCTAGGGCCAGAATCCTGTGTATCCCCAAGATGGATTTGCCTGTCGCTCCGTTCTCAGGGCAGGGCCTCAGAGCCCAGGGCCTTGGCAGACAGCACAGCAGCCCCTGAAGCTGCTCCTCCTCCAGGCCCAGCTCAGAGCACCTCAAAGGAACAGGGTGTTGGCTGGTTTCACCCCCAGGATCATGGAACTATCCCCTACCCCAGTCAAAAGCTGTCCTCAGACACTGAGCCCAGTTATGAAGAGTTTGCGTTTTCTGGGGACTATTAAGATCTAGATAAAACATTGTGAAATGGACTACGGAGGACGAAGTCGTGCCCCTCCCCAACCCCTGACCTGAGGCGGGTGGAGTCAGGGGACCTGGGAGCAGGGACAAGCGTGGAAGGTGAGCATTGGCAAACAGGCCGTGGACGTGGCCAGGCACTGCCTTGGTGAGCAAGAGGCGTTTCCTAGCTGTGGGAAAACTAGAATCAGCCAGAAAGTTTGGGCTGCGTATTCCCCTCCTAGCCGGAAGGAAACTTATGTAAGGCAGTGGGGACAAAGGTGAGCTACCTTACACACCGCTCTACCGAGAAACAGAGATGGTCTGAGTGACGTCTGAGGGGACCTGTGCCCCGTAAGGCACAAGGAGCCTGAGAGACATCTGGGCCTTAGAAAGGCCAGCTGCTCCTTCTCCTCGTCTGCCAGGATGGCCGCTGCACAGAGGCTGGGTTTGAATTCTGAGGCCCTCGGGCCACTGTGGCTGGCGACATGGGGCCCAGAGCCTCCCTGGACTCAGCAATCCGGGACTGAAAGCCCAGGATGCCTGGAGTCAGGCCTCTCTGGGGTTGGGTTTATTTGTGCCAATCGGAGTAGATCTGAGACTGCCCTGGCAGTGCCTCCCTGAACCGGGGTCTGCTCCTTAGGGCGCCTCCCCCTTCTGTGTGTGTCAGATACAGAATGGAACCAGCTCCAGCATCCTCCTAGGCCTGGCTTCTGGCCCCAAACACATCAGAGAATGCAGCCGGCATTGCCCTCTCCCCCCCTCCAAGGAACCTTCTCTGACATTCTGCACCTGCAGTTTAAAAAAAAAAAAGCACCCAGAGCCACTACAGGCAGATGCTAAACCAAGAGAAACAAGTCCACACCCAGCTGCTATTTAGAAAGAGGGAGGAACTCTGCCTCCCCCTTCTTCTAAAGCTGAATTATTCCCAGGAAACTGGCCCTGCCCCCCCGGAACGTTTGCTGTGACAGCACCATCCGGGGGCCAGGTGGGGTCACCCTGGCTGCTCGCTCTTTGTGCCCCCTTCAGTGATCATGCGGAGCCCTGAGTCGCTCGCTATCCAAGTGCAGACCATCCCCTCTCATCCCAGCTCAGGTGAGTGTGTGACAAGCACACGTCAGCACCTCCCTGAAGCCTAAACTTTGGAATCATATAGAATGTTCTGCAATGGTTTAGTCCCTCCAGCTGCTCCAAATACTCCCGCCCTGTCTCTGGGGTTGGGGCAGACTTCCCAGTTCCTGGAGGAAGAAGGTCAACACACCTAGTCTGCGGAGGTCAAAGCTGGGGCCCGGTGCCCAGATGCCACCTCTGGAGACACCTCATCATCCAGCCCTCAGCCTGGTTCTAGTGCCAGGGGCAGCTGTCCTCCCTGCCCAGCCCTGTGCCTTCTCAGGGCACCTCACTTGATCCACAAAGAAGATCCTCTGGTACCTCTGATGTTGGCGTCTGAGAAAGGACCGCCCCCATACCCACGTTCAGAAAGAAAACAAAGGAGCTGCTTCTGTCTAGAAGGCCTTGGACATCTAGGTCCACCTCTGGTGGGAGGAGGGACCCGCTCTGGGCTCTTTCGACAAAGGCACCCTCACTCCTCGTGGTCTGCCGCAGTCAGAACGGAACAGCACCAGTCCTGTTCTCTGCCATCGTCTCTTTTTCTTTCTTTCTTCTCCCCCAGATAAAACAAGACTCAGGAAAGGAAGGAGGAGCAGATTTGTCTCTCCTTAAAAGAGACCTAAAGCTTCCAGGAAGGAAGGTCAAACGCTGATATAAACACAGACCAGAGCAACTCTGGCCTGGGAGTAAAGCTTCTCAGGCACTCTACCTGGAATCAGCCTGAAATTCCAGCTCCTCTGAATCTCGATCATGGGCACACACCACTCATGGTACTGGCAAGTGCAGAAAGCCAAGCTGGGCTTCACGGCAGCTCCTGCAGGCTCTGGGGAGGAGGAAGCTTTCAAGGAAGAGGCTGTTAACATTTGTGGTGGTAACCAACTTACTCTCCTGGGGCCTCCTGGTTACCAAAGGGACCAGATGGAGTGGGCAGGCAAGGACACCATGAACTCTGGGGATGAGGGGAGGACTGAGTCTGGTCACAGCCCTCAGCTCTCTCCATGCCTTGGAGCTTAGTAAGATGAACTCTTCAGTAACCACTGAATTTCTAGAGGAGTAGCAGTTTGTGTGTTGGGCTTTAAAATCAGACTCAATAAAAAACGGTTTACCCCCAACCAGCCAGCTGATAACACAGCTATAGCCCATGCCAACAGCCCAAGGACTGCTCCCCAGGGTGTGGGCCCAGAGTCAGGCATGCAGTGAAGCCCCAGCAGCCTGCCCAGCTGGGATGTGTGGGGCTGCGTTCCACAGAAGGCCGCTGTCCTACCTCCCTGAGCCGGGCTCTGTGCCCAGGCATGCAGGGGGCTGCCTCTTGGTTTTGCATGGGACAGTGCACCCCCTTGAGGATCAAGTCACAGGGCCTGGGGCCTCCCTACCCCTCCCTATCCTCTGGGGTGGAGTCCCAGCAGGAACCCTCCTCACAGCCTGCCTTCCTCAGCCAGGCTCCTCTATGTGCTGCCCCCCACCTCCCGCAACAGAGGTCGTCCTCTCAGGACCCCCTCCTGGCCTTGGCAAAGGAAGGGCTGGATTCTCAGCATCCAGCACCTGCCTCAGGAAGACCTGACCAAGGTCCCTCTGTGGCCCCCAGCACATCAGACTGGACAGGAGGCATTCCAGAAGGGGTGGCCTCAGCCCAAGTTTCAACCCCAAAGGCAATAATTGTCTTGACTTTTCCTTGGTGTTCCACTTGGCCCAGTGCCCCACAGCCTGGACCTTTTCTCCAGCAGAGGCCATGACTTGGCAGACACAGGCTGTTTCTGGAAGGCCTGCTTGTGAGCAAAGTCTATTGTAATGAACTTTCCAAAATATTGTGTATTATTTCATTAAAGCGAACGTTAAATATTTGCTGTTCACATTGGCTTCTGTGCTAATTTTGCACAATTGTAGCACTGTATATTTTATCTAACATTTCTGTGCCAAAAAGTTCATTTTAATGTTTCTGTAATACACGGTCTTGATTATGTTTCTAAAATAAAACTTCAGCTACTGGATCAGTAAGAATGAGGGGGCAGCACCCAGGGGCCCCTGGCTTTGAACAAACCAGGTTCCATGGTTTACCCCATGGCCACAGCAGGTGCCCCCGGCCAGCTCCACCCCAGATTTGTCACTCTCACCATTGCCACGGAGTCCTAATGAGTTTCCCTACACACATTTTCTGTAGGGAAGGGGGGAAAAACACCTGACTTTTTAAAAGGGTGGTTGACCTTGTAACCCAGATGAGTGTCCGTTCATTGGTGTTTTGAGGTACAAGGTTTCTGTTCTTAGTGGTACATAAATGTTTTCCTGTCCTAGTTGAAAAGCCACTGGCAGCCCCACCCAGGCCTCCACCTTCCCCTCCGGTTTGCTCAGTTCTGCTTTCTGCCCTTGTGAACTGCCGGGAAAAGCCCCTCGTTCACTGTGGAGGATCCTTTTCACCATCAGTGTAGGACAGATGGGGATACCCTTGCCAGGCTTGGGGCTGAGGACATGGACATGGATTGCACCAGAGTGACAAAGAGCTCACGAAATGAGCCCAGAGACCATACAGTTCCAGAAGGAAGTGGGGTGGGGCGGGGTGCCGCAAGATTCACCCTGGAGAGGACGTCTGCTTCCACAGCCTCTCCAGCCCTAGCCCAGACCGTGGGCAGAGGGCTTTGCTTAACTCATCTGACACTAACTTCTTGGAGTGAGTCTTTAGGATGCAGGAGAGGTGGAAAGCCCAGCTCAAGGCGCCTGGCCGGAGTTACTCATGTCAGGTCCCTGTGAGCCATGTGTGACGGGGGAGAAGGCTGCGGGTCCCAGTGAGCCATGTGTGACGGGGGAGAAGGCTGCGGGTCCCAGTGAGCCATGTGTGACGGGGGAGAAGGCTGTGGGGCCAGAGCCTATGGT